CCTAAAACAAGAGCCTAGAGTTTTTCCTAGACAGGACGTATAACCTAAAACGAGAGCCTAGAGTTTTTCCTAGCAGTAGTGACTGAACACACGGGAACACAAGGCTGATTGTACCAGGCCCAGGCGTGAAACACACGGTTTGTTTATTATGAATAATACATAGAGGTCACACACACACACACACACACCACTGTGTTCCAGACGCTGTTTCTGGTCCCACAGAGAGAAACCCAGAGACGTTAGTACGTTTTGTGTTACCCTCCCCTCTTGTGTCTGGTCACGGAGTATTGTTAAGGGTTATGTTTGTGGCTCAGCCCAGTCCAAGCTCTTCTCTGTCCTGGCACCCCAATTGTGGAACGAGTTTCCCCCTGACACTAGGACAGCAGATCCCTCCCCATCTTCCGAAAACATCTGAAAGCCTACCTCTTCAAAGAGTATCTAAAATAATCCTACAGCACACACCCCTTCACAATTAAAAAATATAAAAATAACACCCTTGCCTTTTGTGAACGAACACTTGCACTTGACTTTTTCCTAATAGCACTGACTTTGCTGATAGCTACTTTATTGAGGAAAAATGTACACAGTACTTACTATGACTGTGATATGTGGTTGTCCCACTTAGCTATCTTAAGATGAATGCATTAACTGTAAGTCGCTCTGGATGAGAGCATTTGCTAAATGACTCAAATGCAAATGTCAATGTTAGCTAATTCTCAATAGGGGGAAACTGAGAATGAGTGTCTGATGACACAGAGGAAAAGAGTCTGAAATGTCTGTGACAGTGAGGTGCCTGTTAGATTCACACCAAGAGCTGGGTGAGAATGAGAGTAATCTCAGCCAGGACAGGCTACTGTGAAAGACTCAGCGTCACAGTCACAGTTAACTGTGAACCCCAGAGGAAACTCCAGGTCTACTCAGCATGAGGGAATAACAACAGTGTAAAGCAAGGTTAGGGCTGGAGTGGGTACATGAAATTCAGACAATTTCCTTACAGGTGTTCTTAAATAGCCTTTAATTGGCTGTTATGTGATTCAGAACAGAGGTCGGTCATTGCGTCCTTTCCTCTTCACTGGTTGGCATGGAGGTCTCTCTCTGTGTGTGTGTGTGTGTGTGTGTGTGTGAGAGAGTGAGTGCCAGTGGTATAGTACCGCAGAGCCCAGTGTTCTACTCCATTAACAGGTTCATTAAGTCACTATCTGGCAGAGTGACAGACTCCCCGTACCAAGGACGGGTGGCACACCAGGTCAAGGACATATTTGATAAAGTCCAGCAGGCTGTTGAAAGCATATTGACACTGCATCACTTATTGCTGTGGTGGAAAAATCATAGAACAAATCGGCGAAGCTTGTGGATTTCAAACATACCAGCTCTGAAGCACGGACAAGCTGCGAATTCTCTCCCCCCCCCCTCCCTCCCTCCCTCCTAGTCTTACAAAACAAAGAAATGACAGAAAAATGTTCAGCTGACAGACATGAGTAGAAGACTTTCACAGACTGAGGGCAGATAAGAGGGAGTTTAGAGAACAGTACCAGACAGGTGTGTGTTAGTGCTGTGTCTGTGATTAAACAAGGGGCTGACTAAAGACAGCTAATGAGCCTCGGAGAGCTGTGATCACAGAGCCCAGGTCTGAGGTGTTTTTTTCTCTCTTTCACTCCATCTCTCTCTATATATTTCTCTCTCCCTCTACCTCTTTCTCCCTCTCCCTCCCTCTTCAGGGTGATTCGTCCCAAATGGAACCCGATTCCCTATGGGCCTTGGTCAAAAGTAGTGCAATGTAAAGGTTAAAGGGTGTCGTTTGGTCGGCAGCCATTAATGCGACAGAGCCAAGGACATAGAGCTGGAATTCATTAGGCTAATCAGCCTGTTGTCTCAGGCAGAATATTGAGTTATCTACTGAGAACTTTTCGACAAGGTGTTTGAGAAGATGAGTGCCTCCAGATTAACCTCAGGGGAGAAACTCAGCCACCACTCAGAAACCGGGTCACCAAGGGGGTCAACAGCTTCTCCAAACTGTGTCTCCCTTACTTCTCAGAGATAGAGTCGGCAGAAAAAGGTCAGGTTATATTGTCAGATAACGCCAGGGAGGTCCCCAAAATGTAGAGCTGTGTGTGTGTGTGTGCTGGCCCTGCAGTGAACGAGTGGGCTTACTGTATTTGATGCTGTGGGCGTGTGACAGGCCGCCAGATTGTCTCCCTTCATGCTCATCACAGCTCTCTAATAAAAGCCTCCTGTAGAAAATGACTGCTTCCCATATGCTACCCTATACCCTATGTAGTGCACTACTTTTTGACCAGAACCCTACGAGGCCTGGTCAAAGGTAGTGCACTAAATAGGGACACACATTGTAATTTGGGATGTACCCCATGTGCGCTGCCAGGCTGGTGTTTTCATGGAGGAGCAGACAGGCTAATAAAAGAGCTCGTTCACTGTCCTCATGACAAGCCCAGGTGTGAAGGGCACACACACACACACACACACACACACACACACACACACACACAGACACACACACACAATCCTTTTCATCTGCTTTTCTTTTTCTTCCAATGTCTGCAATTACTGAGATTGTCTGTTTAGCCTACATGTCCGCCAGCTGTGTGTGTGTGTGTGTGTGTGTGTGTGTGTGTGTGTGTGTGTGTGTGTGTGTGTCCACCAGTTGAGAAGAAGCAGTGGTATTTGTATTTCTCTCCACTTATCTCCTGCCGGAGGGAAGCAGCACAGCAGCAACTTGACAGACAAGTGAAGGGGGAAACCATATCTATCTATCTATCCATACATACACAGTATATACAGTGCATTCGGAAAGTACAGTATTGGACATGATTTGGAAAGGCACACACCTGTCTATATAAGGTTCCACAGTTGAGAGTGCACGTCAGAGGAAAAACCAAGCAATGAGGTTGAAGGAATTGTCCGTAGAGCTCCGAGACAGGATTGTGTCAAGGTACAAATCTGGGGAAGGGTACCAAAAAATTTCTGCAGAATTGAAGTTCCCCAAGAACACCGTGGCCTCCATCATACTTAAATGGAAGAAGTTTGGAACCACCAAGACTCTTCCTAGAGCTGGCCGCCTGGCCAAACTGAGCAATCGGGGGAGAAGGGTCTTGGTCAGGGAGGTGACCAAGAACCCGATGGTCACTCTGACAGAGCTCCAGAGTTCCTCTGTGGAGATGGGAGAAACTTTCCAGAAGGACAACCATCTCTGCAGCACTCCACCAATCAGGCCTTTATGGTAGAGTGGCCAGACAGAAGCCACTCCTCAGTAAAAGGCACATGACAGCCGGCTTGGAGTTTGTTTTTCAGCAGCAGGGACTGGGAGACTAGTCAGGATCGAGAGAAAGATGAACGGATCAGAGTACAGAGAGATTCTTCATGAAAACCTGCTCCAGAGCGCTCAGGACCTCAGACTAGAATGAAGATTAATCTTCCAACAGGACAACAACCCTTAAAATACAGCCAAGACAACGTAGGAGTGGCTTCGGGAAAAGTCTCTGAATGTCCTTGAGTGGCCCAGCCAGAGCCCGGACTTGAACCCGATCTAACATCTCTGGAAAGACCTGAAAATAGCTGTGCAGTGACGCTCCTCATCCATCCTGACAGAGCTTGAGAGGATCTGCAGAGAAGAATGGGAGAAACTCTACAAATACAGGTGTGCCAAGCTTGTAGTGTCATACCCAAGAAGACTCGAGGCTGTAATCGCTGCCAAAGGTTCTTCAACAATGTACTGAGTAAAGGGTCTGAATATTTATGTACGGTATCTGTTTAAGGTATATGTTTTTTATTTTTAATACATTTGCCAACATTTCTAAAAACCTGTGTTTGCTTTGTCATTATGGTGTATTGTGTGTAGATTGATGGAAAAAATAAATAATTTAATCCATTTTAGAATAAGGCTGTAACATAACAAAATGTGGAAAAAGTCAAGGGGTCTGAATACTTTCCGAATGCACTGTATATAATATATGCAACATCCACTGATGTATCAAATCTCACAAAAATAGACTCCCTCCCTACTTTGCCCCTCTGACCTGATCAGAATTAGATTCTCTAAGGTGTCGTCCTTTCATGATCAGAATTAGATTCTCTCAGGTGTCGTCCTTTCATGATCAGAATTAGATTCTCTCAGGTGTCGTCCTTTCATGATCAGAATTAGATTCTCTCAGGTGTCGTCCTTTCATGATCAGAATTAGATCTTTCCTTCCTGATCAGAATTAGATTCTCTCAGGTGTCGTCCTTTCCTGATCAGAATTAGATTCTCTAAGGTGTCGTCCTTTCATGATCAGAATTAGATTCTCTCAGGTGTCGTCCTTTCCTGATCAGAATTAGATTCTCTCAGGTGTCGTCCTTTCCTGATCAGAATTAGATTCTCTCAGGTGTCGTCCTTTCCTGATCAGAATTAGATTCTCTAAGGTGTCGTCCTTTCATGATCAGAATTAGATTCTCTCAGGTGTCGTCCTTTCATGATCAGAATTAGATTCTCTCAGGTGTCGTCCTTTCATGATCAGAATTAGATTCTCTCAGGTGTCGTCCTTTCATGATCAGAATTAGATTCTCTCAGGTGTCGTCCTTTCATGATCAGAATTAGATTCTCTCAGGTGTCGTCCTTTCATGATCAGAATTAGATTCTCTCAGGTGTCGTCCTTTCATGATCAGAATTAGATTCTCTCAGGTGTCGGCCTTTCATGATCAGAATTAGATTCTCTCTGGTATCATCCATTTCTATCTATATTTCTGTCTATCCCATCTCCCCCTCTGATTTCCTTACTGTCGATATAAAGGTTCACCCCCCCCCCCAAAAAAAACCTCCTCTGTATCTAACAAAGGATTTTTTTCCATTTTCTTCTATCGAGTGGAGCCGTGCTAGGCAGGCTGCAATGTGTCTTCTATCTCTCTAGCGTAGAGGAATATGGACACACGGCTCAAACCATGTCATCTTAATACATTATCGAAAGGCTAGTTATTTCCTGAACCTCAGACTCAGCCGTTTAACTTCGACTTTAAAGCGCTTTAATGAGGACAGCCATCGCTCCAAATGTGCGTGCGTGCATCCTCCACAGGGGCGGATAAGGGAACACTGCGACTGCTGACGGCAGGAGAGGAATTAATTAAATAGAGCAGAAATTGAGAATTTAATTGTGTATCAGAATGACAAGTATGATGAACAATGTCCTGTTATGGGCAGAAAGGATAACTGGTAGTGCCAGAGAATCCTTCCTGATGTCCTGTTATGGGCAGAGAGGATAACTGGTAGTGCCAGAGAATCCTTCCTGATGTCCTGTTATGGGCAGAGAGGATAACTGGTAGTGCCAGAGAATCCTTCCTGATGTCCTGTTATGGGCAGAGAGGATAACTGGTAGTGCCAGAGAATCCTTCCTGATGTCCTGTTATGGGCAGAGAGGATAACTGGTAGTGCCAGAGAATCCTTCCTTTATGACAATGGAAGCCAGACTATGCCAGCTTCAGCAGTGTGACATCACCAATGAGCCATTTTTCGGGCTGCCTGTGCGTTGGTCTAGCGTCTCCCCTCTCCTCCTTCTCTCCGCCCCTCTCTCTTTTTCTGAATCGCTCCCGGAATGCATTTCATCTATTTGTTACTTTCTGTTCGAGGTGGCAGTGTGTTTTCCTAGGGCTGCCTGCCTGCGTAGGCTCCTACATCATTGTGTGGGTGCCCAGATTGAGAGAGGGAGAGATGGAGAGAGGGAGGGAGGGTTGGCGGGGGCAGACTGACTCTGACCTTTGCTGCAGTGGAACAATCACTGAGCATCCATCCTTTCCTTCTCAAAGAGAGACAGATGAAAAGTTGTTGAATTTTTAAAAGCCTCCACTTGTGCTTAGAATAACTTGTGAATGAACTCTAAACTGACTGCCTGTTTCATTTCTATTTTTAGTTCAAGGCTGTGTGAGAGATGGACCATGGCACACATAATAAAAGGTGTCCTCGCTTGTGTGAATGGATCTTTGTCAGTGATGGTGTATTAGGGACTAGTAGTGGAATACGGGCTAGTAGTGGGGCTAGTGGTGGAATAGGGCTAGTAGTGGAATACGGGCTAGTAGTGGGGCTAGTGGTGGAATAGGGCTAGTAGTAGAATTCGGGCTAGTAGTGGGGCTAGTGGTGGAATAGGGCTAGTAGTGGAATACGGGCTAGTAGTGGGGCTAGTGGCGGAATAGGGCTAGTAGTGGAATAGGGGCTAGTAGTGGGGCTAGTGGTGGAATAGGGCTTGTAGTCGAATAGGGGCTAGTGGTGGAATAAGGGTTAGTGGTGGAATAGGGGCTAGTGGTGGAATAGGGGCTAGTGGTGGAATAGGGGCTAGTGGTGGAATAAGGGCTAGTGGTGGAATAGGGGCTAGTGGTGGAATAGGGGCTAGTGGTGGAATAGGGGCTAGTAATAATGGAATAATGCTTTAGGAATAATAATAGGGTTGAAACAGTTAAATGTGAATGTGAGAGGCTAAGTTAAGCCCAAGTGTGTGCGGGTACATTATATTGTGTGTTTGTACATAGATGCGTGCATTTACTATATTGTGTGTGTGTGTGTGTGTGTGTGTGTGTGTGTGTGTGTGTGTGTGTGTGTGTGTGTGTGTGTGTGTGTGTGTGTGTGTGTGGGCCACCAGTCTGATTTCTGGTGTGGGAGGAGAGAACAGCTTGACTGTACCATTAAGCTGAGGCCCTGTGGCACTCTTCTCTGGAAGAACACCGCATCATAAACAGCCAACTGTGCCAAGGAAAACAGCTGCAACAACACCATACATGTCCTATCCTCCAGATGTGTGTGACAGTCACGTATGTTTAAATCTCACATACATATGATACTCATTTTAGTTTCTCTTTTTCTTTCAGTACAGGAACACTGCTATGGCAAATCTTACAACTCCCCACAGCCAATAACATTGCAGGAAGAACCAGTGTCCGTATTCAAGCCAAAGGCTACGAGTACCGTATGTTCACTATGTTCAACATGTGATGTTCTATGAGGAAGTGTCCCTTATTAGTGTGCACTGGGGCTCGGCCTTTGTAGGTAATCACACTGATTTATGATATGACCAAGGACACACAGACAGACACCAAAGGGAGGAAAAATGGATGCATCACTGCAGTATTGTAGCTACTGCATACACACCGTAGGGGTAACGTTAGATGGTTATTCAGTCCTGTGTGTGCAGTGCAGTGCCATTCCCCTGACTCTACCGCACGTTAAGAGACGTCTACATTATTTATCCCCACGTGACAAAAGTCCTCTAGTCGGGAGCGCCTCACCTTAAAAATACCCTCCCTTTATATAACCTAGAACCAGGAGAACGGTAGGGGAACAGGGGAACAGGTCTGTGTCCCAAATGGCACCCTCTCCCTATATACTGCACTATGACCAGGGCCCATAGGGTATAGGGTATAGGGTGACATTTGGGATGTATCCTAGGAGTTCAGTTTGAGAGCAAAGCCAAATAGCTTAGACGATGCGAGAACCCGTGTAGCTTGGGTTGATGTAGCTACTGATTTGTTGGATTATCACTTCCGGGTTTGACTTCAGCTATGTCATGTCTCACAGCCAATAGTAGGGAGGGAGGGAGGGAGGGAGGCAACATCTGGACTGGTCCATTTAGGTAGCTGACTAGGGACCAGCTAAGTACATCAATTGCAACTGCATAAATTGCTTTTTGCGTTCTTCAGTCACTTTCCATTTAATGCTCACTTACTGTAATGATCAATTATATACACTACATGACCAAATGTATGTGGACACCTGCTCGTCGAACATCTCATTCCAAAATCACGGGCATTAATATGGAGTTGGTCCCACCTTTGCTGCTAGAACAGCCTCCACTCTTCTGGGAAGGCTTTTCGCTAGATATTGGAACATTGCTGCGGGGACTTGCTTCCATTCAGCCACAAGAGCATTAGAGAGGTAAGGGCATTGATGTTGGGCGATTAGGCCTGGCTCACAGCCGGAGTTCCAATTTATCCCAAAGGTGTTTGATGGGGTTGAGATCAGGGATCTGTGCAGGCCACTCAAGTTCTTCCACACCGATCTTGACAAACCATTTCTGTATGGACCTCGCTTTGTGCACAGGGGAATTGTCATGCTGAAATAGGAAAAGGCCTTCCCCAAACTGTTGCCACAAAATTGGAAGCACAGAATCATCTAGAATGTCATTGTATGCTGTAGCATTAAGATTTCCCTTCACTGGAACTAAGGGGCCTAGCCCAAACCATGAAAAACAGCCCCAGACCATTATTCCTCCTCCACCAAACTTTACAGTTGGCACTATGCATTCGGGCAGGTAGCATTCGCCTGGCATCCGCCAAACCCAGTTACATCCGTCGGACTGCCAGATGGTGAAGCGTGATTCATCACTCCAGAGAACGTGTTTCCACTGCTCCAGAGTCTAATGGTGGCGAGCTTTACACCACTATAGCCGACGCATGGCATTGCGCATGGTGATCTTAGGCTTGCGTGCGGCTTTTCGGCTTTGGAAACCCATTTCATGAAGCTCCCGGCGAACAGTTATTGTGCTGACGTTGCTTCCAGAGGCAGTTTGGAACACGGTAGTGAGTGTTGCAATAGAGGACAGACGCTTTTTACGCGAAACACGCTTCAGTACTCGGCTGTCCCGTTCTAATGACCGCACTAATGAAGGTGGTAAATTACCTTTTATTGGCATCAGACCAAGGCTCTGCTCTTGTCCTTGTGCTCCTAGACCTTAGTGTCGCTTTCGACACCATCGATCACCACATTCTTTTTGGAGAGATTGGAAACCGTAATTGGTCTACGCGGACAAGTTCTTGCCTGGTTTAGATCTTATCTGTCAGAAAGATATCAGTTCGTCTCTGAACCTTACCATTGATTTGTCGGAGGACAAACCATCCACAGTGTTCCTCAAGGTTCTGTTCTAGGACCACTATTGTTTTCACTATATATGCTACCTCTTGGTGATGTCATTCAGAAAGACAATGTCAACTTTCACTGCTATGCAGACGACTCACAGGTGTACATTTCAATGAAACATGGTGAAGCCCCAAAATTGCCTACCCTGGAAGCCTGTGTTTCAGACATAAGGAAGTGGATGGTGGCAAATGTTTTACTTTTAAACTCAGATAAAACAGAGATGCTAGCTCTAGGTCCCAATAAACAAATCTGCTGTCGGATCTGACAATGAATCTCGATTGATGTCTCAAATTAAACTGAAGGACCTCAGCGTTACTCTGGAGCCTGATCACTTTTGACGAACATACATTTTTATTTATTTTAAGAGCAGCCTTTTTCCATCTTTGTAACATTACAAAAATCTGAAAATGTTGATCCAAAAATGATGCAGAAAAGCTAATCCATGCTTTGTCACTTCAAGATTAGATTACTGCAATGCTCTACGGTTACCCGAATAAGGCAATAAATACAACTTCAGCTAGTGCTAAATACGGCTGCTAGAATCTTGACTAGAACCCAAAAAAACTGGGTCAGTCTGTCATATCTGGTGTAATTCTCCTGTCTTATCTGGTGTCCTGTGCGATCTTAGGTTCCCTCTCTCGACCTCTGAATGCTTGGCTATGAAAAGCCAACTGACACACAGAGAGACAGAGAAACTCATGGGCCTGCGGATAATGAAAGTGAACAGGCTGGAAAAGTGTTTCTGCTTCATGCCGCAGCAGAGCGCTGACGTCCCTCTCGTCCCTCCCATCCAACCCTCCTCCTCCCATCCATCCCTCCCTGGAGCTGACTAGACTAGACTGGAGCTGACTAGACTAGACTGGAGCTGACTAGACTAGACTGGAGCTGACTAGATTAGACTGGAGCTGACTAGACTAGACTGGAGCTGACTAGATTGGAGCTGACTAGACTAGACTGGAGCTGACTAGACTAGACTAGACTAGACTGGAGCTGACTAGACTAGACTGGAGCTGACTAGACTAGACTAGACTATACTGGAGCTGACTAGACTAGACTGGATCTGACTAGACTAGACTGGAGCTGACTAGACTAGACTAGACTAGACTAGAGCTGACTAGACTAGACTGGAGCTGACTAGACTAGACTAGAGCTGACTAGACTAGACTATACTGGATCTGACTAGACTAGACTGGAGCTGACTAGACTAGACTGGAGCTGACTAGACTAGACTGGAGCTGACTAGACTAGACTGGAGCTGACTAGACTAGACTGGAGCTGACTAGACTAGACTGGGGCTGAATAGACTAGACTAGAGCTGACTGGACTAGACTGGAGCTGACTAGACTGGAGCTGACTAGACTGGAGCTGACTAGACTGGAGCTGACTAGACTAGACTGGAGCTGACTAGACTAGACTGGAGCTGACTAGACTAGACTGGAGCTGACTAGACTAGACTGGAGCTGACTAGACTGGAGCTGACTAGACTAGACTGGAGCTGACTAGACTGGAGCTGACTAGACTAGACTGGAGCTGACTAGACTAGACTAGACTGGAGCTGACTAGACTAGACTGGAGCTGACTAGACTGGAGCTGACTTGACTAGACTGGATCTGACTAGACTGGAGCTGACTAGACTAGACTGGAGCTGACTAGACTGGAGCTGACTAGACTAGACTGGAGCTGACTAGACTGGAGCTGACTAGACTAGACTAGACTGGAGCTGACTAGACTGGACTGGGGCTGACTAGACTGGGTAGAGCAACAATGTAATGGGCTGACTTAAGGAAAATTGTGTGAATAATGGCTGTAATGTTTGTTTTTATAAAACATGCACAGATACACACACAGCTTTAGGCAACACTGATGTCCAGAGACAGCATCAGTCTCCCCCTCTTCAGCCCTGCCTGTCACTACACTGCAGAGGGATAATTGTGCTGAGTCATGGCTAAGGATGCAAAAACAACCAAAAGGACCCCATATAACGCAGAGCACACACAAACACACACACACAAACACACACACACAAATACACACACACACACACACACACACACACACACACACACACACACACACACACACACACACACAAATACACAAATACACACACACACACACACACACACACACACAACACACACACACACACACACACTTTAGAACAGGCAGCAGATAGGGGACACTAGAGGACAGTACCAATATGAAGATGGATGGACACCTGTTTATGGACAGTATAAGAGGAGGACTCTGGGATGTAGCATTCATTAAACCAGAAGCCTCATTTAAATGGGTTCTTCTGCCCTAGCGTACGGTTTCCTGTAATTAGAAATCCTCATCTGAACGAATGGCCTCGGTACGAATAATGAGTCTTGTGTTGGAATCAGATCACTGCACAGATAATGTCATTGAGGCTGAATACAGACTATGAAAAGGTTCAGATTGGAGTAGCCACTCAAACTCAGTTCAAATCAGTATTCACAGAGAGAGAGAGGCTGAGTGGGGGAATGAAGAGATGAAACCTTCAGACGAAATGTGAAGGCCCCCAAAATGTGAAGGCCCCCCCCCCCAAAAAAAAAATTAGGAAAAACAGAATAATGAATGCAGAGAGCTTTTCTTTCTATTTTCCTCTCTGACCTCCTTTTCCTCTTTCCTCTCGTCACCCTCCCTTCCTTCACCACGGCCGGCTGCTATCCAAATTCACCTCAGACTTATGAGAGGTCAGAGGAGAGAGAGACTTGCCTACACAGTGCTCAGATTCAGGAGGAGGGCCGTAACCAAAAGCCAGTCCCATTCCTCGAACATGTGACTCAGTCTGACTGATGCCATAGAACGAACACATATAGCTGAAAACAAAGCTTAATCCATATAGGCTAGCTTAATACAAACATGACTGCAATCATAAAGTCAATACATATAGCTACAGTTGAAGTCGGAAGTTTACATACACCTTAGCCAAAAATACATTTAAACTCAGTTTTTCACAATTCCTGACATTTAATCCTAGTACAAATTCCCTGTCTTAGGTCAGTTAGGATCACCACTTTATATTAAGAATGTGAAATGTCAGAATAATAGTAGAGAGAATGATGACTTTTATTTATTTATCTCATCACATTCCCAGTGGGTCAGAAGTTTACATACACTCAATTAGTATTTGGTAGCATTGCCTTTAAATTGTTTAACTTGGGTCAAACGTTTAGGGTAGCCTTCCACAAGCTTCCCACAATAAATTGGGTGAATTTTGGCCCATTCCTCCTGACAGAGCTGGTGTAACTGAGTCAGGTTTGTAGGCCTCCTTGCTCGCACACGCGTTTTCAGTTCTGCCCACAAATGTTCTATAGGAAAGAGGTCAGGGCTTTGTGATGGCCACTCCAATACCTTGACTTTGTTGTCCTTAAGCCATTTTGGCACAACTTTGGAAGTATGCTTGGGGTCATTGTCCATTTGGCAGATCCATTAGCGACCAAGCTTTAACTTCCTGACTGATGTCTTGAGATGTTGCTTCAATATATCCACATCATTTTCCTTCCTCATGATGCCATCTATTTTGTGAAGTGCACCAGTCCCTCCTGCAGCAAAGCACCCCCACAGCATGATGCTGCCACCCCGGTGCTTCACGGTTGGGATGGTGTTCTTCGGCTTGCAAGCATCCCCCTTTTTCTTCCAAACATAACAATGGTCATTATGGCCAAACAGTTCTAGTTTTGTTTTATCAGACCAGAGGACATTTCTCCAAAAAGTACGATCTTTGTCCCCATGTGCAGTTGCAAACCGTAGTCTGGCTTTTTTATGGCGGTTTTGGAGCAGTGGCTTCTTCCTTGCTGAGCGGCCTTTCAGGTTATGTCGATATAGGACTCGTTTTACTGTGGATATAGATACTTTCGTACCTGTTTCCTCCAGCATCTTCACAAGGTCCTTTGCTGTTGTTCTGGGATTGATTTGCACTTTTCGCACCAAAGTACGTTCATCTCTAGGAGACAGAACGCGTCTCCTTCCTGAACGGTATAACGGCTGCGTGGTCCCATGGTGTTTATACTTGCGTACAATTTTTTGTACAGATGAACGTGGTACCTTCAGGCGTTTGGAAATTGCTCCCAAAGATGAACCAGACTTGTGGAGGTCTACAATTTTTTTTCTGAGGTCTTGGCTGATTTCTTTTGATTTTCCCATGATGCCAAGCAAAGAGGCACTGAGTTTGAAGGTAGGCCTTGAAATACATCCACAGGTACACCTCCAATTGACTCAAATTATGTCAATTAGCCTATCAGAAGCTTCTAAAGCCATGACATTTTCTGTAATTTTCCAAGCTGTTTAAAGGCATAGTCAACTTAGTGTATGTAAACTTCTGACCCACTGGAATTGTGATACATTGAATTATAAGTGAAATAATCTGTCTGTAAACAATTGTTGGAAAAATTACTTGTGTCATGCACAGAGTAGATGTCCTAACCGACTTGCCAAAACTACAGTTTGTTAACAAGAAATGTGTGGAGTGGTTGAAAAACAAGTTTTAATGACTCCAAACTAAGTGTATGTAAACTTCGGACTTCAACTGTAAATACATAAAGCTGTTGAAGAAATAACTGCAGTGGAGAAGGCTGGAGCCAAAATGTAGTCATTTCTTATAGATGTCATTGGAAGAGACCACCTGCTGCCATCACCATCCTACCTGTTTCACCTCCCCCAGCTTGACCCCAATCTGACCCTTCCCCTCCCACCATCACCACATCCTACACCCCATCCCCTCCACAGCACTATCCTTCCTTCCTTCCTCCACCTCTAAGTGTTTGTTAGCCTAACAGACCAATACAACCCAAACTGGTCCATACACAGGTTGCATCTGTTCCAGTGTGAAAACTTGTGGAGAAGTCAACAGCCCGAAAACAGTGGCTTTTCAGTCCAATTAATAAAACATGACCAATTGGATGTTATGGAGAAAAAATAAAATAATCCGCTGCATGATAATATGTGTTGGGTTATTCAATATCGAACGCAAGAGGAAGAAACTTTTGGAATTATTTACGTACTCTGGGGTATAGGAGTAAATAAAACAATAAAACACTACACAGCATAATTCAGAGAGAGTTTGAGGGGAAATAAACGGTTGGAAACTGACTAATTGACTTAAGCATGTTTATAACTATATAAGTGGCCTAGCAGTAGTGATTAAAGTGCTATGGGTTAGATGGAATGATACATGTGCAAATGTATTTGTGACCGGAGGCAAAGTACAAAGGGGGCCTGTCTCTGAGACAGAATGTTTCCATAAGGGTGAGATAGGAGGCATTTGATAGAGCTTCAACATCTGCATTGCTTGCTGTTTGGCTGGGTTTTCTGTATAGCACTTTGTGACATCTGCTGATGTAAAAAGGGCTTTATAAATACATTTGATTGATTGATTGATTGAGCTAGTAACATGAATAAGTGTCACGAATTCAGCCGAGGCTGCCCCTCCTCCTTGCTCGGGCAGGTTTCGGCGTTCGTCGTCACCGGCTTACTAGCCACTACCGCTCCATTTATCATCACTCCATTTGTCTTGTCTTGTCAATCACACACACCTGGTACTCATTCCCTCATTAGTCTGTGTATAAGTGTTCCCTCTGCCCCCTTGTCCTTTGTGAGTGATTGTTCGTTGTGAGAGTGAGTAGCTCAGTTCAGCTACTCTTTACTTGTATGCAGCCAAGGTTAATTTTCCCTTGTGCTAGTTTCGTTCTGTCGCTTTAAGAGTACATTATTGTACACTGAATAAACTCTTGATTTCGGTGTTTTACCTCCTGCACCTGACTCCGTCATTCACACCTCATCACAGAATCACTCACCCGCTATGGAGTCAGCGGGAGAAGAGCGCACACCTGGAATCGTGGCAAGGGTCCAGGAGCATGCCACGAAGCTGGCCAGCTTGGGGGAAGCGATGGATCGGGTTCTTCAGGTCGTCCAACGCCTGGAGATTAGAGGAACCGATCTGTCGAGACCAGCTGGCCAACCGGATCCAGCCACCTACATCACAGCACCCGGATGGATCCAGATATCCCGACCTCGGGCGTTCGATGGGACGCCGGCTCTATGTCAGGGATTCCTTCTCCAACTGGAGCTGTACTGCTCCAGTGTCAGGCCGGCGCCATCAGATCGAGAGCAGGTGTCCGTCCTCATTTCCTGCCTCTCGGGGAAAGCCCTGGAGTGGGCCAACGCGGTTTGGAGAGAAGGAGGAGCCGCATTGGAGGACTACAGAGAGTTCGCCCGCCTATTTCGAGGGTCGAGATGCGGGTGAGCATCTGGTCCACTTGAGGCAGGGGACGAGGACAGTACAGGAGTTCCGGATCCTGGCAGCAGGGTCCGGGTGGAACGAGCAGGCCCTGATCAACCAGTTCCGGTGCCATCTACGGGAGGACGTCCGACGGGAGCTAGCCTGCAGTGAACTGGTGGACATGGCCATTCGTCTGGATAACCTGCTGGAAACCAGAGGACGTCCTGGAGGTGGTCTGCCCGTTCCCGTCCCGACCGACGCGGATCCAGAGCGCATGGAGCTGGGTGGTACCGCACACCGAGAGAGCGGAGGACGACAGTGCCAATCGGATGGCACGAAGGGACATTCTACCACACGTTGTCTCGTCAGCGCTCTTTTGGGTCAGGAGGCGGCCGGCAGGGCACTCTCGCATCACCCCAGGTATTGAGCACCCACTCTTGTTCAGAGCCCTCTGCTGAGCACTGTACTATACCCATATACTTCCTGATCACATGAGAGTTCCCCAGTGTAAGGCACTAGTCGATTCAGGCGCAGCTGGGAACTTTATGGACAAAACTTTTGCACGCCGCCAGGGCATTTCATTGGTTCCCCTATCCATTCCACGCCCCATCAGAGCACTTGATAGTCGACCATTAGGGTCCGGGTTGATAAAGGAAGTCACGGTACTAGTCACCATGATCACACAGGAGACGCATTGTGAGCAGGTCACTTTTTCCATCATTGAGTCTCCTGCTTTCCCTGTGGTGTTAGGTATTCCATGGCTAGCACTCCACAACCCCACTTTCTCATGGCCGCAGAGGGTTCTCACGGGGTGGTCGCGAGAGTGTCAGGGTAGGTGTATGGGTGTTTCCGTTGGTGCAACCACGGTGGAAAGTCCAGACCGTGCCTCCACCGTGCGCATTCCCCCTGAATACCATGATCTGGCACAAGTCTTCTCTAAAAATAAAGTGACTAATTTACCACCTCATCGGGCGGGGGATTGCACAATAAACCTTTGGGTAGACGCTGTACCTCCCAGGAGTCATGTGTATCCCCTGTCGCAGGCGGAGACGGAGGCTATGGAGACATACATCACCGAGTCCCTGCGCCAGGGGTACATACGTCCCTCCACTTCACCCACCTCCTCGAGTTTCTTTTTTGTGAATTAGATGGCGGTCTGCGCCCGTGCATTGACTATTCGACCACTGAACAAGGAGACTATTAGATTTAGTTATCCTCTCCCCCTCATTCCGTCAGTGGTTGAGTCATAGCATGGAGCGCGCTTCTTCACTAAATTAGATCTCAGGAGTGCGTACAACCTGGTGCGTATCCGAGAGGGAGATGAGTGGAAGACAGCATTCAGCACAACCACAGGGCATTATGAATACCTGGTGATGCCCTATGGTTTGATGAATGCTCCCTCAGTCTTCAAGTCCTTTGTGAATGAGATGTTTCGGGACATGCTTGGTCGCGGTGTAGTGGTCTACATCGACGACATCTTGGTGTATTCCGCTACGCGTGCCTGAGCATGTGTCCCTGGTTCGCAAAGTACTGGCCTGACTGTTGGAAAATGACCTTTATGCTAAGGCAGAAAAGTGTACGTTTTTTCCAGCAGTGAGTCTCCTTCCTCGGATACCGCATTCCTATCACAGGTGTGGAGATGGAGGGCGACCGCATTGCAGCCGTGCGTAATTGGCCGACTCCAACCACGGTAAAGGAGGTGCAGCGCTTCCTTGGCTTCGCCAACTATTATCGGAGTTTTATCCAGGGCTTTGGCAAGGTCACAGCTCCCATTACATCTCTGTTGAAGGGTGGGCTGTCCCGGCTCCGCTGGTCTGCTGAGGCTGACAGGGCCTTCAGTAACCTGAGGGAACTGTTCACCTCGGCCCCGGTACTGGCCCACCCCGATCCATCACTACCGTTCGTAGTGGAGGTGGATGCGTCCGAGGTTGGGATGGGAGCAGTCCTGTCTCAACGCTCGGGCACGCCACCCAAGCTCCGCCCCTATGCGTTCTTCTCAAAGAAGGTCAGCCCGGCGGAGCAGAACTACGGCATTGGTGATCGGGAGCTGTTGGCTGTTGTCCGAGCTCTGACAGTGTGGAGACATTGGCTCGAGGGGGCGAAACACCCATTCCTCGTCTGGACGGACCACCGTAACCTGGAGTACATCCGGGCAGTGAGGAGGCTGAACCCTCGCCAGGTGGGCCCTATTCTTCACCTGGTTTGATTTCACACTGTCAAACATTCCAGGTACGAAGAACGTGAAGGCAGACGCACTGTCCAGGCTGTATGAGACAGAGGAGAGGCCCAGAGACAATACCCCCATACTGCCAAACTTCTGCATTGTGGCGCCGGTAGTATGGACGATGGACGCGGATATAGCGCAGGCATTACGCACAGATCCATCTCCACCGCAGTGTCCAGCTGGGCTGCAGTACGTGCCTGCGCTTATCCGTGATCGTCTGATCTACTGGGAACACATGTCACCCTCCTTTGGTCACCCAGGTATCGGTCGTACAGTGCGCTGCCTGACCGAAAATTACTGGTGGCCTACCTTGGCTAAGGACGTATGTATCCTCCTGCTCAGTGTGCGCCCAGAGTAAGGCACCTAGGCACCTCCCAGCGGGTAAGTTAAAACCCTTTACCAGTTCCACAACGACCATGGTCTCATTTGAGTGTTGATTTTTTAACTGATCTGCCTCTCTCTCAAGGGAACACCACCATCCTGGTCGTTGTGGATCGCTTTTTGAAGGCTTGCCGCCTCCTTCCTCTGCCCGGTCTCCCCACGGCTCTGCAAACTGCGGAGGCCCTGTTTACACACGTCTTCCGGCATTACGGGGTACCAGAGGATATAGTGTCTGACCGAGGTCCCCAGTTCACGTCAAAAGTCTGGAAGGCGTTCATGGAACGTCTGGGAGTCTCGGTCAGCATAACCTCTGGGTTCCACCCTGAGAGTAATGGGCAGGTGGAACGGGTTAATCAGGATGTGTGTAGGTTCCTGAGGTCCTATTGCCAAGACCGGCCGGAGGAGTGGTCGGTGTTCCTGCCATGGGCAGAATATGCCCAGAACTCTCTCCGCCACTCCTCTACGAACCTAACGCCATTTCAGTGTGTTTTAGGTTATCAACCGGTTCTGGCACCGTGGCACCAGAGCCAGACCGAAGCTCCTGCGGTGGATGACTGGTTTTGGCACGCGGAGGAGACGTGGAACGCTGCCCATGTTCACCTCCAACGCGCCGTACCGTCGTCAGAAGGTCAACGCTGACCGTCACCGCAGTGAGGCCCCCGTCTTTGTACCGGGGGATCAGGTCTGGCTCTCGACCCGGAATCTGCCCCTCCGCCTGCCCTGCCGGAAGCTGAGTTCACGGTTTGTAGGGCCGTTCAAAGTCCGGAGGAGAATCAACGAGGTCACATATAGGTTATTACTCCCCCCTGATTACCGTATTAACGCCTCGTTTAATGTGTCTCTCCTCAGGCCGGTGGTGGCTGGTCCGCTCCAGGAGTCTGAGGTGCGGGAGGTCCCTCCACCTCCTTTGGACATCGAGGGGGCGCCGGCGTACTCTGTCCGGTCTATCCTGGATTCGAGGCGCCAGGTGGGGGCCTTCAGTATCACGTAGAGTGGGAAGGGTACGGTCCAGAGGAACTGTGCTGGGTCCCGGTGAGGGATATCCTCGATCCCGCTCTGCTGAGGGACTTCCATCGTCGCCATCCAACTCCCCCTGCTCCGCGCCCAGAGGCCGTGTCGGCACGCTGCTGGAGCTGCACGTCGGGGGGTGGTACTGTCATGAATTCAGCCGAGGCTGCCCCTCCTCCTTGCTCGGGCAGGTTTCGGTGTTCGTCGTCACCGGCTTACTAGCCACTACCGCTCCATTTATCATCACTCCATTTGTCTTGTCAGTCACACACACCTGGTACTCATTCCCTCATTAGTCTGTGCATAAGTGTTCCCTCTGCCCCCTTGTCCTTTGTGAGTGATTGTTCGTTGTGAGAGTGAGTAGCTCGGTTGAGCTACTCTTTACTTGTTTGCAGCCAAGGTTGATTTTCCCTTGTGCTAGTTTCGTTCTGTCGCTTTATGAGCTACATTATTGTACACTGAATAAACTCTTGATTTCGGTGTTTTACCTCCTGTGCCTGACTCCGTCATTCACACCTCATCACAATAAGTATACTTCAAGATAGAACCCAACAAACCAAAATAAAACGTTTCCGTATTAAATATCAGAGATGAACTCTAAGGGGATGTGATTGCCTCAGTGGTGAATGCAGAATACTGTAAGCTCTCCTTCCCAATAGCGTAGCATAAAAATTACTGATTAACTATAAAAAATTAACAAAACTACTAAGGGCCTCCCGAGTGGCGCAGCGGTCTAAGGCACTACATCGCAGTGCTTGATGCGTCACTACAGACCGTGTTCGATTCAAGGCTTTGTCACAACCGTCCGTGATCGGGAGTCCCATAGGGCGGCGGACAATTAGCGACTCCTTGTGGCGCACCTGCAGGCTGACTTCGGTCGTCAGTTGAATGGCGTTTCCTCCAACACATTGGTGCAGCTGGCTTCCGGGTTAAGCGGGCGGGTGTTAAGGAGCGCGGTTTGGCAGGTCATGTTTCGGAGGACGAATGACTTGACCTTCGCCTCTCCCGAGCCCGTTGGGGAGTTGCAGCGATGAGACAAGATCATAATTGAAATTCTGATAAAAAAGGGGGTAAAAAAATAAAATACTACTACAACAAACAGGATATGCTTGACTGTGTTTAAACATGTTTGCTGTGCGTTCCTGTGTGTGTGTGTGTGTGTGTGTGTGTGTGTGTGTGTATATATCCAGTTTCAGGCAGTGCATCGGCTGTTTGTGCTTTTCCCTTTCACTCCATCCATTCCCATTCACCCCCACAACCATCCATCCACTGTACAGCATGTCTCCATGCAACCCCCCTCTAGCCAACTAGGGGTGCTGCAACCCCCTATAGCCACAACTAGGACTCACCAAGATCCTTAGAGCCTTGACTTTCGCTCGCCATCTCTCCCATCCTCACCAGTGCCTCGAAGTAGCCCTTTGCAGCAAATGTGACACCTGGAAACATGGAAGCATTGGCCGTCAGATCAGGGGCGGAGTGGAAATATTGGACATTAAAGTAAACTTCACCCCAGCATCCCTCCCCTATAGCTATAGCCCCAGTCAGTTAGGATAGGGGGCTAAAGGATACCATAGGCTACAATGGAAAGAGCTAATGCTACTATAGACTACAATGGAAAGAGCAAGGCTAGTACAAAGTACAAAGGAAAGTTATATAGCAAGGCTACAACAGGGCTACAATAGAAAAGGCTACAGCAAGGCTACCACAAGCTACAATGGAAAAGGCTACAGCAAGGCTATCACAAGCTACAATGGAAAAGGCTACAAGCTACTACTGGCGACAACGAAAGGAGCTAATGCTACAACGGAAAGAGCTAATGCTACAAGAGGCTACAACAGAAAGAGCTAATGCTACAAGAGGCTACAACGGAAAGAGCTAATGCTACAAGAGGCTACAACGGAAAGAGCTAATGCTACAATGGAAAGAGCTAAAGCTACAAGAAGCTTCAATGAAAAGAGCTAATGCTACAATGAAAAAAGCTAATGTTACAAGAGGCTACAATGGAAAGAGCTAATTCTACAAGAGGCTACAATGGAAAGAGCTAATGCTACAATAGGCTACAATGGGAAGGGCTAATGCTACAAGAGGCTACAATGGGAAGAGCTAATGCTACAAAAGGCTACAATGGAAAGAGCTAATGCTACAAGAGGCTACAACGGGAAGAGCTACTAATACAAACAACAAGAGGAAAAGGAGAGGAAAGCACTGAAAAAGAGAGCGAGACAACTACAGGAACTACTGATGGATAGAGTGGATGCTGGATGGAAAGAAGAACTGCAGACCAGAGAAGGTAAAGCAAGGGAAGACCAGGGAAGGCAAGATAGCCCGGTCTTCAATACAGAACTTTAAAAACAGAATATGACAACCTGCCTAACCAAACTTTCAAGGTGGTTCAATACATAGGCTACTGCTCACTGCATTGCAAATGAAGCCACTGTACCGTTTCTCATACAGAGTGGCAGTGAGAGACATTGGGTGGCTACGACCTCTGTGTCTCAGGTCTCAGTCCAGGGAACACACAGCAGGCATGGCTCACCTGCACAGTCCTGCCACGGGCAGCTAGAAGCAGTGAATGGTAAGTAACGGTGATTAAGACCAGGTCAGGGGTCAGTCAACTAGGGAGTGGTAGTCATAATGAGGGGAAAAGATGTCCAATAAGGGGGAGAGAAAGAAAGAGAGCGAGAAAGAGAGAGGAGCTGACTGAGTCTTAACTTGAACTGATCCAGTCTATCCCCCTCTCCCCTGAGGATCGTTTCTCAACCCATTTCCTCCCTTAATCCTCCCTTTATCAATTCTTCTTTCCTTTCTCTAACTTTATCAGAATCTTTATCTTGAGGTCACTCTGAACTAATAACAGCCCCCTGTCTCCAGAACCCAGGACCTAAAGCCTACTGCCCTGTAGCTGGGTTCGCTCTGAAACAGACTGATTACTTCCAGGAAGAGAGACCCTCTCTCGGCTCTTCCTGAGCCCAGCTTTGGTTAAGTCAGGGTGCGATAGGAGAGTGCGGGTGAGGGGGGTGGAAGTGGATGAGCTGGTAGAGTGGGTGTGGTAAACCCTTGCGTGGATGGATGGGCCACTTAGCGATGTCCACAGAAATCCCAGCCAAGGCGGATAGAGCGAGGGGCGGCAGAGTGTGGTAGGCCAGGTAAGGCAGGATTAACTGGGACAGGATTTTAGAGCTTTACTGTTGGGGTGTGTGTGTGTGTGTGTGTCTTCAATAAAGAGGATTACGCCTCTGATATGAAGCAGATAGTCTACAGAATGGAGTTGAGACACGACATCCATTCCCCCCCACCTATTCCAAAGTAAATTAAAACACTCTTAAGGAGGAGTAAAACCGGTATAAACCAGATCAGCTGCAGTTTGATGTGTTTAGTCCTCGATCCATCTTCAACTCCCCTCTTCCAAATCCACCCCAGTTTCTATTCCTCTCTCTCCTCCCCTCTACTCCTTTATCAAATCACTTCAGCACTCACCCTCTTTCTGTCTACTCTCCTCCATCCCTCCATCCCTGTTGAGAAATCTCTCTCCGCCCAGCCTTCAACATGATGCCCAGTGGGGTTGTCCCACCCTCTATCTCCAGTCCCAAAGCTTAACAGAATACCTGGCTAAATACCGGTCAAAGCATTGCATCCTATTCAAGCCCTGCAGCCACTGCACACTATCCTATCCTCCAAAACCAAACACTCCTTGAAACCGAACAAACAGCATCTCCTCCGAGGAGAACTGGAAGCAGGCAGCTCTCTCCCTAGACTGAACCATGATGTCAGTCAACAAAGCTCCAGGGACCTCCAAATCCAGCCAAGCATCACTCATTGTTCACTGTTGCGATTTATGAGTTGTCCTTCTTCTCCTAAGAGCAGAGGCAGAACTGGCATATTTACAATTCCAGTTAGCGTATGGAGGCCCACAAGGTGCCCTGTGGTGAGTTGAATGCTGGCTGTGCCCTTTGCCTTTGCGCCTGACCTGCAATTATTAAGTGTAATTCTCCATCCTGGAGCTGTGTAGCTAATTTTATCAGATTACACTGAGTCCTCCTTTATTGGTCCTCAGGGCTTCCAGAGTCCTACCTGCCTTCCCTGCTCCTCTCTCCCTCTGTCCCTGCTCCTCTCCCCCCCCCCCGCCTCGGTCCCTGCTCCTCTCAATTCAATTTAAGGGCTTTATCGGCATGGGAAACGTATGTTAACATTGCCAAAGCAAGTGAAGTAGATAGTAAACAGAGTGAAACAAAAGTGAAATAAACAATAAATATTAACAGTAAATATTACACTCAGAAGTTCCAAAAGAATAAAGTCATTTCAAATGTCATATTATGTATATATACAGTGTTGTAACAATGTGCAAATAGTTAAAGTACAAATGGGAAAATAAATAAACATTCACTGGTTGCCCTTTTCTTGTGGCAACAGGTCACAAATCCTGCTGCTGTGATAGCACACTGTGGTTTTTCACCCAGTAGATAAGGGAGTTTATCAAAATTGGGTTTGTTTTCGAATTCTTTGTGGATCTCTGTAATCTGAGGGAAATATGTGTCTCTAATATGGTCATACATTTGGCAGGAGGTTAGGAAGTGCAGCTCAGTTTTCACCTCATTTTGTGGGCAGTGTGCACATACAGTGGGGAAAAAAAGTATTTAGTCAGCCACCAATTGTGCAAGTTCTCCCACTTAAAAAGATGAAAGAGGCCTGTAATTTTCATCATAGGTACACGTCAACTATGACAGACAAATTGAGAAGAAAAAAATCCAGAATATCACATTGTAGGATTTTTAATGAATTTATTTGCAAATTATGGTGGAAAATAAGTATTTGGTCACCTACAAACAAGCAAGATTTCTGGCTCTCACAGACCTGTAACTTCTTCTTTAAGAGGCTCCTCTGTCCACCACTCGTTACCTGTATTAATGGCACCTGATTGAACTTGTTATCAGTATAAAAGACACCTGTCCACAACCTCCAACAGTCACACTCCAAACTCCACTATGGCCAAGACCAAAGAGCTGTCAAAGGACACCAGAAACAAAATTGTAGACCTGCACCAGGCTGGGAAGACTGAATCTGCAATAGGTAAGCAGCTTGGTTTGAAGAAATCAACTGTTGGAGCAATTATTAGGAAATGGAAGACATACAAGACCACTGATAATCTCCCTCGATCTGGGGCTCCACGCAAGATCTCACCCCGTGGGGTCAAAATGATCACAAGAACGGTGAGCAAAAATCCCAGAACCACACGGGGGGACCTAGTGAATGACCTGCAGAGAGCTGGGACCAAAGTAACAAAGCCTACCATCAGTAACACACTACGCCGCCAGGGACTCAAATCCTGCAGTGCAAGACGTGTCCCCCTGCTTAAGCCAGTACATGTCCAGGCCAGTCTGAAGTTTGCTAGAGTGCATTTGGATGATCCAGAAGAGGATTGGGAGAATGTCATATGGTCAGATGAAACCAAAATAGAACTTTTTGGTAAAAACTCAACTCGTCGTGTTTGGAGGACAAAGAATGCTGAGTTGCATCCAAAGAACACCATACCTACTGTGAAGCATGGGGGTGGAAACATCATGCTTTGGGGCTGTTTTTCTGCAAAGGGACCAGGACGACTGATCCGTGTAAAGGAAAGAATGAATGGGACCATGTATCGTGAGATTTTGAGTGAAAACCTCCTTCCATCAGCAAGGGCATTGAAGATGAAACGTGGCTGGGTCTTTCAGCATGACAATGATCCCAAACACACCGCCCGGGCAACGAAGGAGTGGCTTCGTAAGAAGCATTTCAAGGTCCTGGAGTGGCCTAGCCAGTCTCCAGATCTCAACCCCATAGAAAATCTTTGGAGGGAGTTGAAAGTCCGTGTTGCCCAGTGACAGCCCCAAAACATCACTGCTCTAGAGGAGATCTGCATGGAGGAATGGGCCAAAATACCAGCAACAGTGTGTGAAAACCTTGTGAAGACTTACAGAAAACGTTTGACCTGTGTCATTGCCAACAAAGGCTAGATAACAAAGTATTGAGAAACTTTTGTTATTGACCAAATACTTATTTTCCACCATAATTTGCAAACAAATTCATTAAAAATCCTACAATGTGATTTTCAGGATTTTTTTTCTCATTTGTCTGTCATAGTTGACGTGTACCTATGATGAAAATTACAGGACTCTTCAATCTTTTTAAGTGGGAGAACTTGCACAATTGGTGGATGACTAAATACTTTTTTTCCCCACTGTATCCTGTCTCTCTCCACCTCCCTCTGTCCCTGTCCTTCTCCACTCCCTCTGTCTGCTCCTCTCTCCACCTCCCGCTTCCCTGCTACTCTCTCACCTCCTGTCCCTGCTACTACCACACCTCTGTCGCCTCTCCCATCCCGTGTCCCTGCTCCTCTCTCCACCTCACCGCTGTCCTGCTCCTCTCTCCACCCCCGTGTCCCTGCTCTCTCTCCACCTCCGCTGATCCTGCTCCTCTGTCCACCTCCCTTCTGCTCTCTCTTCTCCCCCTCCCGCTTGTCCCTGTCCTACTTACTCCACCTCCGCTGTCACTGCTCTCTCTCCACCTCTTCCCTGTCCTGCCTCTCTCCACCTCCGCTGTCCTGCTCCTCTCTCCACTACCCTGTCCTGCTCTCTCTCCACCTCCCGCTGTCCCTGCTCCTCTCTCCACCTCCCTCTGTCCCTGCTCCTCTCTCCACCTCCCGCTGTCCCTGCTCCTCTCTCCACCTCCCGCTGTCCCTGCTCCTCTCTCCACCTCCCGCTGTCCCTGCTCCTCTCTCCACCTCCCTCTGTCCCTGCTCCTCTGGAGCTGGAGGCAACACTAAATTAGAGGCTATTAACCTACAGCTGGAGGCAGCACTACATTAGAGACCATTAACCTACAGCTGGAGGCAGCACTACATTAGAGACCCAGTAACCTACGCTGGAGGCAGCACTACATTAGAGACCATTAACCTACAGCTGGAGGCACACTACATTAGACCATATTAACCTACAGCTGGAGGCAGCACTACATTAGAGACCATTAACCTACAGCTGGAGGCAGCACTACATTAGAGACCATTAACCTACAGCTGGAGGCAGCACTACATTAGAGACCATTAACCTACAGCTGGAGGCAGCACTACATTAGAGACCATTAACCTACAGCTGGAGGCAGCACTACATTAGAGACCATTAACCTACAGCTGGAGGCAGCACTACATTAGAGACCATTAACCTACAGCTGGAGGCAGCACTACATTAGAGACCATTAACCTACAGCTGGAGGCAGCACTACATTAGAGACCATTAACCTACAGCTGGAGGCAGCACTACATTAGAGACCATTAACCTACAGCTGGAGGCAGCACTACATTAGAGACCATTAACCTACAGCTGGAGGCAGCACTACATTAGAGACCATTAACCTACAGCTGGAGGCAGCACTACATTAGAGACCATTAACCTACAGCTGGAGGCAGCACTACATTAGAAGCATGGCTGAGGAGACACTATCTGTGTAGGACTTGCTTTCCCTGTCTGTGTCCACAGCTTACTACAGATTCATAGTGCAGCGAAGTACAATCCTCACCATTCTCTTCAACTGAGAACTGTATTTCAACATGAAGTCATTATTAAAGGGATGATGTTGATCAAAGGTCAAATAGGGGGTGTTTAGATTTGTCCTGTTTCACACATGTACAAGTGTGTACCCTGTACAGCAGGATATCATCAATTAGGTTCAGCCTTGAACGGCTGATCAGGGAGCCGGAACATAACTGATTGCTAGAAACCCAAACAGATATAAAATATTTGACCGAAAACATTATCATTTCAAACCTTGCTTACATTTTCATACGATCGCAAACACTGAGTGCTCTTTCCATGACAGACTGACCAGGTCAATTCAGGTGAAAACTATGATCCCTTATTGATGTATGCTGTTAAATCCACTTCATTCAGCGTAGATGAAGGGGAGGAGACAGGTTAAAGAAGGATTTTTAAGCCTTGAGACAATTGAGACATGGATTGTGTGCCATTCAAAGGGTGAATGGGCAAGACAAAATATTGAAGTGCCTTTGAACAGGGTATGGTAGTAGGTGTCAGGCACACCGGTTTAAGTGTGTCAAGAACTGCAACGCTGCTGGGTTTTTCATGCTAAACAGTTTCCCGTGTGTATCAAGAAAGGTCCACCACCCAAAGGACATCCAGCCAAGTTGACATAACTGTAGGAAGCATTGGAGTCAACATGGGCCAGCATCCCTGTTGAACCCGTGTAGCTCAGTTGGTAGAGCATGGCGCTTGCAACGCCAGGGTTGTAGGTTCGTTTCCCATGGGGGGCCAGTATGAAAATGTATGCACTCACTAACTGTAAGTCGCTCTGGATAAGAGCGTCTGCTGAATGACTAAAATGTAAAAAAATGGAACGCTTTTGACACCTTGTAGTCCATGCCCTGACGAATTGAGGCTGTTCTGAGGGCAAAAGCGGGTGCAACTCAATATTAGGAAGGTGTTCCTAATGTTTTGTACACTCAGTGTATCTCTCTCTCTCTCTCTCTCTCTCTACTCATGGAATATTCTAATAGAAGAACTCCGGGTTCCATCTGAACCTCATGTAAGACCATGTGACACTGATTAAAAGTATAGGTTATGCTGCTGATGCTTTACCATTGGTAGAAACAGCAAGAGTTTGTATCTCCAATGTCTTTTTCTCTCCTCATCATCTCTCCTCCACCTCCCTGTCTTGTCCTGGATACCAGTTCTGTTGTTCTCTTTTCTGGGGCCATTTGTGTTGTCTCTCAGCACCCCCTCCCCCCCCAAAAAAAAACACCTTCCTGGAGATATCTCAAAAGTGTTGTCCTCCTGCAACCCTTCAACCATATCACCTAGTGTATATACTCCACCCACACGACTTGTGAACAACCAAATAAACACATTAAAAAGGAGTTGACAGCATGGAGGGATGCGAAGTGAAGAGGAGAGGGCAAGATGTGGACATGGAACATTCTAAGGTGACATCATAGGCCTGAGCCTCACAACAGAATATTAAAATCAGTCCATGTAGTTGAAAGCCTCCCTTACAGAAAAAAACACGATTTCACATGTGGAAAATCACATTATTTCACGTGAAATCATGTGAAAATGTGTTTTTGGAACACTTCACATGTGATCACTTTTTCACATGTGTAGTTTCATGTTTTCACATGTTGCTTTACATGTTGTCACATTAACTTGTCATAAGATCACGTGATCACACAAAAACGTGTTTATGGAACACTTCACATGTGATCACGTGAAAATCATGTGGTTTTTCCCGTAAGGGCTGTCGGAGCACCCAGCAGTATCTTTCATAGCTAAATCCTACAAGAGATTAGAAGGATGCATGAGGACACGGACTACAGGCTACACACAGTCAACAGCATCTGAGCTCATCTCTAGGTCAGATAAATCAGGAGTCTAAAAAGCAACAGCGAGACAGTGTCAGGCCTGGTCCTCTGGATAGGAGGGGAGCTGGGGATGAGATAAAGGAGGAGAATAAGATGTACTCACTGGATAGGGCCTTCTCGTAACTCTTCCCCATGGCCACGAAGTTCCGCAAGCACGGGTTGAACTGCTCCATAATGGACTGAAAAGATAAAAAAAACAGTTTTTTTAGTCGGACTGAGCAGCAATAAGCCTACCAGAAGCAGCGCTCTACTCTATAGTCGGGCGTGCGCTCACACGCGAATCCTACCAGCTCACACACCACTCATTCGACTTAGCCAACCAGGTACAAGAGTGTAGATGGGAATCATTCAGAAATGACACCCAGTTTCTTTTGTGGCGCAGGGACATATGAGGGAACAAGGGAGTGGACGAGGAATAATTGGATGACACAAAAATAGGAGAGGAGATTCAGCTATAGCTTAGTTGGCTTGAGCATGGTGCTAGCTGGCCACAGCAGGGGGTTGATAATGAATATGATAACTAACTGTGGGTATAGTGTGTGCTGGAGGGGACAGATGGTTTGGTTGGGTTGTGTGGGATCCAGCATAAACTACTGCATATAATGTATGTGCTCACTGGAAAATAATACTTATTACAATAATATCATCATTACTAGGACTGGGAGAAGTAAGATGTGGATTATACATACATAATATAGAAACACATTGAATAACATTCATAAACTGCAAAAAGGATAATCAAAAAATTAATCAGAAGGAATGAGGTTTTGAAGTGTCTGTCCGATATCTAGGAGATACACTAAATGAACAAAAGTATGAGGACACCTGCTCGTCGAACATCTCATTCCAAAATCATTGGCATTAATATGGAGTTGGTCCCACCTTTGCTGCTATAAACAGCCTCCACTCTTCTGGGAAGGCTTTCCACTAGATGTTGGAACATTGCTGAGGGGTACTTGTTTCCATTCAGACACAAGAGCATTAGGGAGGTCAGGAACTGATGTTGGGTGATTAGGCCTGGCTCACAGTCGGCGTTCCAATTCATCCCAAAGGTGTTTGATGGGGTTGAGGTCAGGGATCTGTGCAGGCCACTCAAGTTCTTCCACACCGATCTCGACAAACCATTTCTGTATGGACCTCGCTTTGTGCACGGGGGCATTGTCATGCTGAAACAGGAAAGGGCCTTCCCCAAACTGTTGCCACAAAGTTGGAAGCACAGAATCGTCTAGAATGTCATTGTATACTGTAGCGTTAAAATTTCCCTTCACTGCAACTACGGGGCCTAGCCCGAACCATGAAAAACAGCCCCAGACCATTATTCCTCCTTCACCAAACTTTACAGTTGGCACTATGCAGTCGGGCAGGTGGCGTTCTCCTGGCATCTGCCAAAGCCAGACTCGTCTGTCGGACTGCCAGATTGTGAAGTGTGATTCATCACTCCAGAGAACGCGTTTCCACTACCTCCAGAGTCCAATGGCGGCGAGCTTTACGCCACTCCAGCCGACACTTGGCATTGCGCATGGTGATCTTAGGATTGTGTGCGGTTGCTCGGCCATGGAAACCCATTTCATGAAGCTGCCGACGAACAGTTTTGAGCTGACGTTGCTTCCAGAGGCAGTTTGGAACTCGGTAGTGAGTGTTGCAACTGAGGACAGACGATTTTTACGCTTTACACGCTTCAGGGACTGGGGAAAGTCAGGATCGAGGCAAAGATGAACGAAGCAAAGTACAGAGAGATCCTTGGTTAAAACCTGCTCCAGAGCGCTCAGGACCTCAGACTGGGGCGAAGGTTCACCTTCCAACAGGACAACAACCCTTAGCACAGAGACAAGACAATGCAGGAGGGGCTTCAGGACAAGTCTCTGAATGTCCTTGAGTGGCCCAGCCAGAGCCTGGACTTGAACCCGATCTAACATCTCTGGAGAGCTGAAAATAGCTGTGCAGCAACGCTCCCCATCCAACCTGACAGAGCTTGAGAGGATCTGCAGAGAAGAATGGGAGAAACTCCCCAAATACAGGTGTGCCAAGCATGTCACACCCAATAAGACTTGAGGCTGTAATCACTGCCAAAGGAGGTTCAACCAAGTACTGATCAAAGGTCTGAATACTTATGTAAAATGTGATATTTCAGTTTTTATATTTAATAAATTTGCAAAAATGTCTAAAAACCAGTTTTTGCTTTGTTATTATAGGGTATTGTGTGTAGATTTTATGAGGGGGAAAAACTATTTAATCCATTTTAGAATAAGGCTGTAACGTAACAAAATGTGGAAAAAGTCAAGGGGTCTGAATACTTTCTGAATGCACTGTGTGTGTGAGATATATCTATATACAGTTGAAGTCGGAAGTTTACATACACTTAGGTTGGAGTCATTAAAACTCATTTTTCAACCACTCCACAGATGTCTTGTTAACAAACTATAGTTTTGGCAAGTCGGTTAGGACATCTACTTTGTGCATGACACAAGTCATTTTTCCAACAATTGTTTACAGACAGATTATTTCACTTATAATTCACTGTATCACAATTCCAGTGGGTCAGAAGTTTACATACACTAAGTTGACTGTGCCTTTAAACAGCTTTGAAAATTACAGAAAATGATGTCATGGCTTTAGAAGCTTCTGATAGGCTAATTGACATCATTTGAGTCAATTGGAGATGTACCTGTGGATGTATTTCAAGGCCTACCTTCAAACTCAGTGCCTCTTTGCTTGACATCATGGGAAAATCAAAAGAAAATCAGCCAAGACCTCAGCAAAATAATTGTAGACCTCCACAAGTCTGGTTCATCCTTGGGAGCAATTTCCAAATGCCTGAAGGTACCACATTCATCTGTACAAACAATAGTACGCAAATATAAACACCATGGGACCACGCAGTCGTCATACCGCTCAGGAAGGAGACGCGGTCTGTCTCCTAGAGATGAACATAGTTTGGTGCGAAAAGTGCAAATCAATCCCAGAACAACAGCAAAGGACCTTGTGAAGATGCTGGAGGAAACAGGTACACCAGTATCTATATCCACAGTAAAACTAGTCATATATCGACATAACCTGAAAGGCCGCTCAGCAAGGAAGAAGCCACTGCTCCAAAACCGTCATAAAAAAGCCAGACTACGGTTTGCAACTGCAAATGGGGACAAAGGTCGTACTTTTTGGAGAAATGTCCTCTGGTCTGATGAAACAAAAATAGAACTGTTTGTCCATAATGACCATCGTTATGTTTGGAAGAAAAAGGGGGTAGCTTGAAAGCCGAGGAACACCATCCCAACCGTGAAGCACCGGGGTGGCAGCATCATGCTGTGGGGGTGCTTTGCTGCAGGAGGGACTGGTGCACTTCACACAATAGATGGCATCATGAGGAAGGAAAATTATGTGGATATATTGAAGCAACATCTCAAGACATCAGTCAGGAAGTTAAAGCTTGGTCGCAAATGGGTCTTCCAAATGGGACAATAACCCCAAGCATACTTCCAGAGTTGTGGCAAAATGGCTTAAGGAAAACAAAGTCAAGGTATTGGAGAGGTCATCACAAAGCCCTGACCTCAATCCTATAGAATGTTTTATTCACCCAACTTATTGTGGGAAGCTTGTGGAAGACTACCCAAAATGTTTGACCCAAGTTAAACAATTTAAAGGCAATGCTATCAAATACTAATTGAGTGTATGTAAACTTCTGACCCACTGGGAATGTGATGAAAGAAATAAAAGCTTAAATAAATCATTCTCTGTATTATTATTCTGACATTTCACATTCTTAAAATCAAGTGGTGATCCTAACTGACCTAAAGCAGGGAATTTTTACTCTGATTAAATGTCAGGACATGGGGGATTGGAAGTGATGCAGACAATTACATTGATGGAAGTTACAATCTATCTGCAATATTAAGCTGATCTACCCCCCCCAAAAAATAACGGTATATATACATACCACGATCGTAGAGAGACAGGTCAGACCAAGGTGCAGCGAACATGTTTATTAAACTCAATAATCATAAACAAAACAAGAAACAACGTAACGTGAAGTCCTCAGGCTATACACATACAAGCCTAAACACGGAACAATATCCCACAACTAAGGTAGGCAACCAGGCTACTTAAGTATGATCCCCAAGCAGAGACAACGAGCGACAGCTGCCTCTGATTGGGAATCACACCCGGCCAAACATAGAAATACACATCTAGAATCTAAACATAGAAATAATAACATAGATCCTCACGCCCTGACCAAACCAACTAAAGACAACCGGCCTCTCAAGGCCAGGGCGTGACATATACACACACACATATATATATATATATATATATATATATATATATATATACAGTGGGGAGAACAAGTATTTGATACACTGCCGATTTAGCAGATTCTCCTACTTACAAAGCATGTAGAGGTCTGTAATTTTTTATCATAGGTACACTTCAACTGTGAGAGATGGAATCTAAAACAAAAATCCAGAAAATCACATTGTATGATTTTTAAGTAATTAATTTGCATTTTATTGCATGACATAAGTATTTGATCACCTACCAACCAGTAAGAATTCCGTCTCTCACAGACCTGTTAGTTTTTCTTTAAGAAGCCCTCCTGTTCTCCACTCATTACCTGTATTAACTGCACCTGTTTGAACTCGTTACCTGTATAAAAGACACCTGTCCACACACTCAATCAAACAGACTCCAACCTCTCCACAATTGCCAAGACCAGAGAGCTGTGTAAGGACATCAGGGATAAAATTGTAGACCTGCACAAGGCTGGGATGGGCTACAGGACAATAGGCAAGCAGCTTGGTGAGAAGGCAACAACTGTTGGCGCAATTATTAGGAAATGGAAGAAGTTCAAGATGATGGTCAATCACCCTCGGTCTGGGGCTCCATGTAAGATCTCACCTCGTGGGGCATCAATGATCATGAGGAAGGTGAGGGATCAGCCCAGAATTACACGGCAGGACCTGGTCAATGACCTGAAGAGAGCTGGGACCACAGTCACAAAGAAAACCATTAGTAACACACTATGCCGTCATGGATTAAAATCCTGCAGCGCACGCAAGGTCTCCCTGCTCAAGCCAGCGCATGTCCAGGCCCGTCTGAAGTTTGCCAATGACCATCTGGATGATCCAGAGGAGGAATGGGAGAAGGTCATGTGGTCTGATGAGACAAAAATAGAGCTTTTTGGTCTAAACTCCACTCGCCGTGTTTGGAGGAAGAAGAAGGATGAGTACAACCCCATGAACACCATCCCAACCATGAAGCATGGAGGTGGAAACATCATTTTTGGGGATGCTTTTCTGCAAAGGGGACAGGACGACTGCACCGTATTGAGGGGAGGATGGATGGGGCCATATATCGCGAGATCTTGGCCAACAACCTCCTTCCCTCAGTAAGAGCATTGAAGATGGGTCGTGGCTGGGTCTTCCAGCATGACAACAACCCGAAACACACAGCCAGGGCAACTAAGGAGTGGCTCCGTAAGAAGCATCTCAAGGTCCTGGAGTGGCCTAGCCAGTCTCCAGACCTGAACCCAATAGAAAATCTTTGGAGGGAGCTGAAAGTCCGTATTGCCCAGAGACAGCCACGAAACCTGAAGGATCTGGAGAAGGTCTGTATGGAGGAGTGGGCCAAAATCCCTGCTGCAGTGTGTGCAAACCTGGTCAAGACCTACAGGAAACGTATGATCTCTGTAATTGCAAACAAAGGTTTCTGTACCAAATATTAAGTTCTGCTTTTCTGATGTATCAAATAACTATGTCATGCAATAACATGCAAATTAATTACTTAAAAATCATACAATGTGATTTTCTGGATTTTTGTTTTAGATTCCGTCTCTCACAGTTGAAGTGTACCTATGATAAAAATTACAGACCTCTACATGCTTTGTAAGTAGGAAACCTGCGAAATCGGCAGTGTATCAAATACTTGTTCTCCCCACTGTATATACACACACACATATATATACACAAGCAAGGATACGGAGAATGAAATAAGGGCTGAGTGAAGGAGGGGGAAGAAATGGTGCAAGCCAGGGAATAATTGTGTGTGTGTGCGCACTTGTCATCTATGTACTGCCCAGGTGCAGAGAGAGAGACAGCGAGAGAGAGAAGAGAGAGAGAGAGAGAGAAGAGAGAAGAGAGAATGTGGTCTATATGGTAACCAAATCACCCTGCACCAGGGCATAAAACCACCCTCCAATTACAACCAGGTGCCCATGCAACATGTTCCCCAGACAACCTCTACATCCTGGAACTCTCACCCCCCCCCCCCCCCCCACACACACACACAGTTCCTCTCCTCTACTTTATCAGTCTAACCTTTTCCTGACAGAGCTGTCAGACAGACACTGAAGAAGGGAGGGGGATCTCTAGTCTCTTGGTAGTGGTGTGCTTTATGCTGTTGACAGACATTATGGCATGGCATGAGGGATGCCTACTAATGCCTGTCTGTACCAACTGGCTGGCTGGCGCTGGGTCACCTTAACATGACTTCAAACAGAAGTGGGACAGGACAGGACAGAGAGAGAGAGAGAGAGAGAGAGAGAGAGAGAGAGAGAGAGAGAGAGAAAATACAGGCTATATCTGCAGGAAGGACAGAGGGAGAGAGGGAGAGAGAGAGAGAGAGAGAGAGAGAGAAAATACAGGCTATATCTGCAGGAAGGACAGAGGGGGAGAGAGAGAGAGAGAGAGAGAGAGAGAGAGTGTATAAATACAGGATATATCTGCTGTGAGAGAAATGTTTAAAAGAGAGAGGAAGTTGTGAAATGCATTGGAGAATCCAATTGATTTATACACGCTTAATAAACAGCCGTCAGATTACAGGATCACTACGGTGTGTGTGAGATATGCAATTACCATCACAGGTCTAGCCTCCTATGCCACAGTGAGAAGATGCAGCTGGAACCAGAAGGTTTCTAAAGTAGTAGGATACACACACACACACACACACACACACACACACCAAGTGTCACACGTGACGAGTGACACACACACACACACACACACATCCCGTGCACATGCACACCGGAACTGACAACCAAATTCCCTCATGTAGACACGCAAACATGGACAAACACTCCGTACACGCTTACACAGGCTGCAATCAACCGGCACCAAAGTTTGTATCTAGTTAAATGGTTTGTTAATTCATTGACGTAATCAAAGCTTGTGTAGAAGACCCACTGAAGCGTTCATTAACTGCTCCTCCACCCACCTCTCACTGCATGCCCTAGAGTCTTAATACACACACGCACTCAAAAATCCCAATTGGCCCAGAGAGCCAGCCTCACCTGATTAGCTCCAGTCCCACACAAATAAAAGTGCACGCATTGGCAACCGCTAATCACCATCAGAGTGGCCCTCAAATATGCTAATAAGGGACCTAGCTAATGCAGGAAGGAGTTTCCCCTCACCGTGACACACGCACGGGTTAGAGACTAGGCAAATTATTCACATGTCTCCACATGACACATTTTCTGAATTTAATTCATACTCAAATCAGCAACACAAGTCGTTAGTTTAGCAGGACTAAATCTATAGACACACACACTCACGCTCTCCCTCTCTCCCATTCAGCAAGTCAATATTTGACACGTGAATTGGCAAAAGGAAGTGCTGATTGTACACAGTCACACAAAGCTTTTTAGGGAGAGGCTTAAGCCTTATTTTTGCGGTTGGCTCCTTTGGCTCATCTGCTGTAACCATGTATTTAATTTGGCCTCGTCTTTAATTGTTCGAGCTAATTAAATAGATCCATCGAGCCTAATGAAAAATGGAAATTGATTCTTAAATGATACCAAATGTCCTCATCTTGTCCCTCATAATACTCTCCGTTGTTCAGTAGGAAATGTTCCCATTTACATCAAAGGGAATGGAAAAAATATGATGTTCCAGCTTAATCAAGAGAGGGTTAAGAGGGAAGGAGATACCCAGAGGCTTCACACAGGAACAGAGGTAAAAGACCCCATGTCACTGTGTGTGTCTCTACGTGCATGAGTATATGTGTGGAGTGTGTGTGTGTGTGTGTGACTACGTGTGTGGAGTGTGTGTGCATGAACAGAATATAAAGTAGTGGAGCAGACTAATGCGATGTGGTCAGAGCACCCTGGATGGAGTAAACATTACTGCCCAGCACTCTGGATGGAGTAAACATTACTGCCCAGCACTCTGGATGGAGTAAACATCACTGCCCAGCACTCTGGATGGAGTAAACATTACTGCCCAGCACCCTGGATGGGGTAAACATCACTGCCCAGCACTCTGGATGGGGTAAACATCACTGCCCAGCACTCTGGATGGAGTAAACATTACTGCCCAGCACTCTGGATGGGGTAAACATTACTGCCCAGCACTCTGGATGGAGTAAACATTACTGCCCAGCACTCTGGATGGAGTAAACATTACTGCCCAGCACTCTGGATGGAGTAAACATTACTGCCCAGCACTCTGGATGGAGTAAACATCACTGCCCAGCACTCTGGATGGAGTAAACATTACTGCCCAGCACTCTGGATGGAGTAAACATTACTGCCCAGCACTCTGGATGGAGTAAACATCACTGCCCAGCACTCTGGATGGGGTAAACATTACTGCCCAGCACTCTGGATGGAGTAAACATCACTGCCCAGCACTCTGGATGGGGTAAACATTATGGCCCAGCACTCTGGATGGAGTAAACATTACTGCCCAGCACTCTGGATGGGGGTAAACATTACTGCCCAGCACTCTGGATGGGGTAAACATCACTGCCCAGCACTCTGGATGGGGTAAACATTATGGCCCAGCACTCTGGATGGAGTAAACATTACTGCCCAGCACTCTGGATGGGGTAAACATTACTGCCCAGCACTCTGGATGGGGTAAACATCACTGCCCAGCACTCTGGATGGAGTAAACATTACTGCCCAGCACTCTGGATGGGGTAAACATCACTGCCCAGCACTATGGATGGAGTAAACATTACTGCCCAGCACTCTGGATGGAGTAAACATTACTGCCCAGCACTCTGGATGGAGTAAACATCACTGCCCAGCACTCTGGAAGGAGTAAAAAAATTAATAAAAAATATGCACTCACTACCTGTAAGTCGCTCTGGATAAGAGCGTCTGCTAAATGACTAAAATGTAAAACGTAAACATTACTGCCCATAAGGTTAATATTTCTACTGTTATATTGCTTTCATTGATTGTCACTAAGACATTAATCCATGCTTATTTATATATGTTTAAATGAATTGCAATTCAATAGTACACAACATGGTTTTCAACAAACGCCTCCTCAGTCACATGTTACATCTCAGAGATTAACACACACACACACACACACACACACACCCAGTGGTTCCAGTCAGCATGGCGAAGCGTCAGTGCTTCAAAGCTGCTCCAACAAGATGAGCAAAGCCAGTTTCACTGCAGCAGCAGAAACATGGTCTGCATCCCAAATGGCACCCCATTCACTACGTTTGACCAGGGCCCATAGGGTATTTGGGACGTGCCGATAGGACGCTGGAACATCCAGTACTATGTTAGTTTAGGATGCTGGAACATCCAGTACTATGTTAGTTTAGGACGCTGGAACATCCAGTACTATGTTAGTTTAGGACGCTGGAACATCCAGTACTATGTTAGTTTAGGACGCTGGAACATCCAGTACTATGTTAGTTTAGGAAACTGGAACATCCAGTACTATGTTAGTTTAGGACGCTGGAACATCCAGTACTATGTTAGTTTAGGACGCTGGAACATCCAGTACTATGTTAGTTTCTGTCACATTGACATGCTGTTGGAGCAGCATTGCCAGTATGTGAAATATTTATCTTCAAAATGTGTGGAGTTGAACATCTCTCTAGCCTGACTGACCCCAAGGCAATGTTCTGGGAAAGTGAGGGGATGGGCGAATGTAAAATGAAGTTCAAGGTGTGTGTGTGTGTGTGTGTGTGTGTGTGTGTGTGTTTGTTAGTGTTGTGTCTTTGATTAAATAAGGGACTGAAAACTGTTGTCTGGGCTGAATTCCCAGTGATCTTAGTGGATTTTTCTCAAATCTACCCCCAGGGCAAATGTAGTGAAGAACACTAATAGAGAGAAGGCTACTGTAGTGATGTGGGCTATAGTCCTATAACACCAAGCATTGGACAGAACACAGAGGAGTCGTGTCACACACACACAGAGGAGTGATGTCAACTGTCAGCTGAGTGATGTGGTAGAGGGCCAAAGGTTAAACCATCCGTTAATGATCGAATACCAGCAGGGATAGAGGAGAGAGAGAGAGAGAGAGAGAGAGGAAAAATACAGCATTTTATTGTTTTATCTGACTGGAGCAGTTACAGTGTGACAAGCGTTGGGTGAAAGGTCACGGTGAAAGGTCACAGTGAAAGGTCACGGTAATATCAAGTCACATACACACTCAGGGATAGGCATAGACACACCGTCACACACACACACACACACACACCTGAGGGCACTAGCTCTGGTCGAGAGAAAACTAATAACATTGTCCTTTCTGAGAACACCGTGACCTGTCCTTTAAAAGACACGAGGGACGAGAGGGTGTAAGTGTGTGTTTGTGCATCGGTGCGTGCGCGTGTGGTGAATCACTGTCGGTCGTGCCTACATAAACAACACCAGGGTCATCTCATGGAGAGGGTGCAAATTAAAGCCAATGTGGCCGTGTGGCTCATTTAACCCTGCTGTGGCATCCTCTGCCACCCTGCCAAACACATTAACTACAGTAGCTAGCTAGAGACTGGCAGTGAGAGAGAGAGAGAGAGAGAGAGAGAGAGAGAGAGAGAGAGAGAGAGAGAGAGAGAGAGAGAGAGAGAGAGAGAGAGAGAGAGAGAGAGAGAGAGAGAGAGAGAGAGAGAGAGAGAGAGACCATGACCCTTCAGTTTAGTCGTGGGTGAGTGATCACACATGAGCTTAGAGACCATGAGATATTCACAGGTTCCTCTAGAAGTCCCTTTCCAGTAGAGGTTGAAATATTGGGTCAACAGTTTCAACTTTCAATGTCATACATCCTCTCAAGTTCTCCTTGTGTTGGGGTGCTATTTGGAAAAGATAAAGAGTGTGTGTGTGTGTGTGTGTACACACATTCCTGACTGAAAATGTCAAGGTTACACCTGATTACAGTGTTCAGGTGTGGAGGGATATGGAAATGTCAGCAAGTCTGAGGTGGTCTGGTCTCCATGCCAACTAAGAGGGTGTAACTCGGCTGGCGTATGGATTTTACTACCCTACTGCCAGCTATCAAGGTGACCCAGTCAGTCCCATGGTTCTCCATGTCCTCTTTTTGTATCATACTTCATATCAGTCACCCTACATCCCGCCACCAACACTATCCCTGTATATAGCACTCCCTTAGTATAATATACACAAGAAAAATGTCAGCTACCACAAACACATTACTCACACATAAAAAAAGCAATTTACTACCCAGTACCCACGTGTCGTTTTCCATCATACTGCAAGGAAACCTCCAGCTGAACACACACACACACACACACACACACACACACACACACACAGGCAGCTCTGAAGAATGTGAATGAGCACTGATGCTGAACATTATTGCAAAATGCTAAATAGACTGCATTAGAAATCCACCCATGCATTAGAGAAATCCAGCAATTCTTCCATTCCTATGGTCCATCTCTGATGATATCACCCCTCCTTCCATCTCATCTGTAAGTGGGTATTACATCACTGGCGTACCACCCCCCTGCCCCCAACCCCTCCAAAATCCCCCCAAATGTTTAGAATTACACAAAATGATCTGTAAACTGAAACATTTCCTCTCAGCCTCCTGGCAAAATGTGTAGAAAAGCAGGAAAATAGCTTTAAAAATGCTCAATTCTCTCAGCCTCATTGGAAAATAGCATGAGATTAGCTATAAAACTGCACATTTCTGTCTTTGCCCCATGGCAAAATGTGGATAATTGTATGAAGCTAGCCATTCTCCACAATTATATTGGGTTGGGGGCAAGGGGGCCCTTGCTCAGACCTTGCGGGGGGGGGCCCGCGAAACTGCAGTATGCCACTGCATTACATGCCTCTGCCAAGCCTCTCTTTGTCAATTATTGGGTTAAAACTGCCATGTCTGAGTGTCCTCAAGGGAGGGCAATTCAGCGCCTGTGTGTGTGTGTGTGTGTGTGTGTGTGTGTGTGTGTGTGTGGGCCATTTGCCTTTCAGATGAGCTGTTATCTGTGCTCAGGCACACACAGTGGTGCAACCCATTCCAGCCAGGGAGAGGAGGCACTTCTTCCGCAGCCATATTAGGAAATGTGGGAATTCCCCCTAAAACATCTCTACTCCACACAGTGTGGCTCGTACCACCAGAGACTTGAAGAGACACCCAAGGTCAATGTTTCATTAGGAAGCTGAAGAGGTGTGGATTCATTATCACCACTAATTCATCATGTGCATTTAAGAGAGAGCGAGAGAGATGCAGAGTGAGAGAGGAAGTTTAAAGGGATGAAATAACAGTCTGTTCCTGCACACAGAAACCACCCCCTCTCTCCCCTCGTCTCCCCTCCCTTCCCTCCCTCTTCTCTCTTCCCTAGTCTCCCCTCCCTTGTCCCCTCTCCCCTCGTCTCTGTTCGACTCCCTCCTCGATTCCCCCCTTCTCCATCTTTTCTTCTTCCCTCCTTCCCCCTTTTCCCCTTTCCCCTTTTCTCTTCTATTCCCTCCCTCTCCCTCTTCTCTTTCTGCCCCGTCTTACACTGTCCTCTCTCCCCCCTCCTCATCGCCCCTCCCTCCTCTTCCCGTCTCTCTTTCCTCCCCTCATCTCCCCTCCCTCTCTTCCCTTCCCTCGACTCCTCCTCTCTTCCCTCGTCTCCACTCCTCTCTTCCCTCGTCTCCCTCCTCGTTTCCTCCTCTCGTCTCCCCTCCTCCCTCCTCCATCCACTCCCCTCCCCTCTTTCCCTCTTCTTCCTTCTCTTTCCTCTTCCCTCCCTCCTTCGTCTCCCCCTCTTCTTCTCCACTTCTCTCCCCTTCCCTCATCCTCTCTCTCTTCCCTCTTCTGTCCCCTCTCTCCTCCCCACCCTCTCCCTCTGTCTTCCTTCTTTTTCCTCTTCCTCCCACCTCCTCTCCCCCCCCTCTCTTCTCCCTGTCTCCCCTCCCTCATCTCTTCCCTCGTCCCTCTCCCCACCCTCGTCTGTCTTCCCCACCCTCGTCTGTCTTCCCCCTCCCTCCCCTCTTCCCCTCGACTCCTTCCCGCGTCTCCCCCCTTCCCTCTCTTCCCTCCCTCGTCTCTCTTCCCTCTTCTCCCCCTCTCTTCCCTCGTCTCCCCCCTCTCTTCCCTTGTTTCTCTTCCCTCCCTCGTCTTCTCTCCCCTCCCTCGTCTGTCTTCCCTCTCCTCCCTCCCCCCCTCTTCCCTCCCGCTCTCTTCCCCACCTCTCTCTTCCATCAACTCCCTTCCCTCGACTCCCTTCTCACATCTCCCCTCACTCATCCTCCCTCCCTCCCCCCCCCCGTCTCTCATCTCCCCTCCCTCCTCTCATCCTTCCTTCCCTCGTCTCTCTTCTCTTCCCTCCCCTCCAGTCTCCCTTCGCTCCCGTCTTACCTGGGGTGGCAGGTAGCTTAGTGGTTAAGAGCGTTGTGCCAGTAACCGAAAGGTCGCTGGTTTTTAATCCCTGAGCCGACTAGGTGAAAAATCTGTCGATGGGCCTTTGAGCAAGCACTTAACCTAAGGGCTCCTGTAAGTCGTCTGGATAAGATTGTCTGCCTAAATGACAAAAGTAAATGTTACCTCGTCTCTCGTCCACCCCTCCAGTCTCTTCTCTCCCTTCCCTCGTCTCGCTTCCCTCATCTTTCTCTCTCCCCACCTCGTCTGTCTTCCCTCTTTTCCATCGACTCCCTCCTCTCGACTCTTCCCGTATCTCTTCGCTCCCCTGTCTCTCTCCCATCCTCATCTGTCTTCCCTATCCTCCCTCCCCCCTATTCCTCCTCTTTCCCACCGCTCTCTTCCATCAACTCCCCCCCCGTTTCAATCCCCTTCCCGCCTCTCGTCCCTTTCCTTCATCGTCTCTCTTCTATTCCCTCCCCTCCGTCTCCCTTCGCTCCGTTTCCTGGGGTGGAAGGTAGCTAGGGTTAAGAGCGGTGCCAGTAAACCGAAGGTCGATGGTTTTAATACCTGACCGACGACTAGGTGAAAAAATCTGTCGATGTGCCTTTGAGCAGGCACTTAACCCTAATGCTACTTGCTAATTCCTAATTTTCCCACGTCTCCCCTCCCTCGACTCCCTTCCCACGTCTTCCCTCCCTCCCCTCGGCCCTCCCCTCCCCTCGGCCCTCTTCCCTTGGTCCCCCCCCACCGACTCCTCTCTCTCTTCCTCGTCTCCCCTCCTCCCTCCTCCACCTTCCTCGTCTCTCTCGAGACGCCCGCTTGACCCTATCCCCTCCTCTCTTCTCCAAGACCATCTCCGGTGTTCTTTTCCCATTAACTCACCTCGCTCATCAACTCATCCTTGACCGGCGGGCTATGTCCCCTTCCTTCTTCAAGAGAGCGAGAGTTGCACCCCTTCTCAAAAAAAAACCAACACTCGACCCATCTGGATGTCAACAACTACAGACCAGTATCCCTTCTTTATTTTCTCTCCCAAAAACTGGGGGGCCAATCGTCTGTCTTCCATCGCGTCTCTCCTTCCCTCTCTTCTCGCCTCCCTCCCTCCCCTCTCTTCCATCGACTCCCTTCCCCTCGTCCCCCCGCCCACCTCGTCTCCCCCCCCACCGACTCCCTCTACCTTCCTTCCCTCCCTTCGTCGCTCTCCCCTCCCCCCCCTCGTCTTCCCTCCCTCCCCTTGGCCCTCTTCCCTTGACTCCCTCCCCTCGGCCCTCTTCCCTTGTCCCCCTCCCCACCGACTCTTCCCCCCCCGGAAGCGCAGCTGAATCATGCAGCAAGACAATGATCCAAAAACCACAAGTCTACATGAAAATAGTAAAAAAGAATAACATTTGAAGTTTTGGAATGGCCTAGTCAAAGTCCAGACCTAATCCCATGGTCCCGTGTAGCTCAGTTGGTAGAGCATGGCGTTTGCAACACCAGGGTTGTGGGTTCGTTTCCCACGGGGGACCAGTATGAGAAAAGAAAAATGTATGCACTCACTAAACTGTAAGTCGCTCTGGATAAGAGTGGCTGCTAAATGACTAAAATGATATTGTGGCAAGACTTGAAACAAGCAGTTCATATTTGAAAACCCACAAATGTCGCTGAGTTAAAGCAGTTCTGCATTCAAGGGTGGGCCAAAATACCTCCACAGTGATGTGAGAGACTGATCAACAACAACAGGAAGCATTTGGTTGCTGTCATTGCAGCTAAATGTGGCACAACCAGTTAGAGTGTAAGGGGGCAATTACTTTTTCACACAGGGGAACTGGGTGTTGCATAACTTAAATGAAATAAGTACAGCTTTTTTTGTTATTTGTAAACTCATGATCCCTTTATCTAATATTAGGTTTTGGTTGAAGATCTGATAACGTTCAGTATCAGAAATATGCAAAAATAGAGAAGAATCTGAAAGGGGACAAATACTTTTTCATGGCACTGTTAATAATACTTTTTTAAATGCTGATTAGGCTGGTAGAACCGTTCAGAGGGTTCTAGAAATAACCTTTAGATTATAAAATGGTTATTGGTAGAACCCTACATAGAGGGTTCTAGGGAGAACCCTCTGCAAAGGGTTCTACCTAGCACCAAAAAGGGTTCCCTATGGGGACAAAGAACAACCCTATATGGTTATGCTTAGTACCTTGTTTTCCTATGAGTGCACAGGCAACCTCAGTAGTAGCTAGCTACAGAAGACAAAGCTCTGTAGCTAACTACTACTGAGGTTTAGACAAAAAAGCTCTGTAGTCCTCTGTCTCAACTACAGTAGCAGAAGGATACAAAAACAAAAGAAGTGCAGCACTGTGACTAAATCTGAGAAGAAAATCACTGGTTTGAAACTATCCCACTGCATCGAGACTGCCCGCTTGACCCTATCCCCTCCTCTCTTCTCCAGACCATCTCCCTTAACTCACCTCACTCATCAACTCATCCTTGACCGCTGGCTATGTCCCTTCCGTCTTCAAGAGAGCGAGAGTTGCACCCCTTCTCAAAAAACCAACACTCGATCCCTCTGATGTCAACAACTACAGACCAGTATCCCTTCTTTCATTTCTCTCAAAAACTCTTGAGCGTGCCGTCTTTAGCCAACTCTCTTGCTATCTCTCTCAGAATGACCTTCTTGATCCAAACCAGTCAGGTTTCAAGACTGGTCATTCAACTGAGACTGCTCTTCTGTG